AAAGCGAAACAAGCGGTATGTGGATGATGGGCACGCAATAAAACTTCCTACCCAAGGTCTTTTGATTTTTACCGTGTCATCGGATAAGTGTGCAATCAGACGTTGTCACGATGGCAGGCAATGCCCTTCCTATTGATTATCTCGCTTTGCTGCAATCTGGCTAATTGGTGGCAGCAGTAATTAGAATCGATCAGTTGAGTATAACATGCACTTCAGTGTCAATCGCATCATATTTAAGGCACAACCTAATGGAGCACAAATCGTGGCTTTGATCGTGGATTTGTAATAATTAAACTTTCTGTTGGGTAGGATCGAACGACATTCTTATATTTTACACACTTTGCAAGGCCAGTGATGAGTTGCTTCAAAAATGGTTCGATTTTGTCGCGTGCCGGACAATTAAGTTCTTCAAATTTCTTTGATTGTGTGTGTGCTTGTGTGTGTTTGTGTATGTGCTTGAGTGTGTGTGTGTGTATTCGGCGTTACGTAATTAATTTTCAACTATTTTCTGCTCTATATTTGATTCCTAAGTAAAGTCAGGATTGCTTATGCGTCGGTGTTCGCTGATTTCCGATACGACTTTCGATCGAGTAGACTAGTACTATCGCATTCGACAGAGCCACTACACTGGGTACTACAAGCCTTCTCCCTGAAAGCTTGAGCAGTCTTTTTACCCCTTTCGCTAATGTAATTGGAAAATATAGCGAACCTCTTTAGACATTTCAATAATTTTCACTTTTCCCACGATTCTTGCAATGTAAAAGTATCCTTCAGAATATTGTAGATTGAAGTCGCATACTCCATATTCCATATTCTGTTTAGTTTTACTTACCTCTTAAATACAATCCATTGATATAAAAAATCTCTCAATATTATTTTCCGCATAATATTTTGTAAAAATGTTTAAAGGTTCAAAATTTAATTCCATCCGATCCCAAATTTTACACATTCATTTATTGTATCAAAATATTATTTTTCCAGATTATGGATCTTTTAAAATAGAGCATTATAGGTGGGTTAGGATTCCGATTCGAATATATTTTCAATAGTATTCGTCCTTGGACTAAACACGTCTTTGTACTAAACTTCATCAAAATATCTCAAAAAAAAAAAAAAATTCAACCTGCAGACTGAACGAAAAGCACATATGCACAAGTCGTAAAGGCCCAAAGGAACAGACAAGCTTAAATCAATTTGGAAAATCTGAATCGATTAACGTTAAAATAAAAAATGGGTTATCTCAAGCCCCTGTAGATGCTGCATATAGACAATAGCACAAACTTGATACATACTCACCATAAGTAAGGGCATGGGAAATATACAAATTTCCTAGAATTGCGGCCCATGGCACACGTAACTTTACCATCAAAGCTTAGTGCAATCAAGACCAAAAATTACAAGTTCCGTAGGAAAGTAATGGACATACTGAATGTCATGACCTGTGTCACATATTTTCGCTTTTTTTTTTTTTGCCCCCTGATTATTGGTTTACTTATATGAGTATATATTTTCTTCTTTTTCAGACCCTTTTCCACCCATGCTGCCTATACCAATGCCACGTCATGTTATAATGCCACCCCGCGTCACGTTACCAGGTGTGGAGGTTACATTACAAAATGATGATCTATGGAAACAATTTCATCAAATTGGTACCGAAATGATTATAACAAAAAGTGGAAGGTAAGGTATATAAACATTCATGCGGTAATAATTTGCCTACAAATAAGATCATAAATTAGGCGCCGACATTCGATTGTTTTAGCACATAAAAAAAAAAAAAAAAAAAAAAAAAAAAAAAAA